TCCCCAAACAAACCCCCAAAAAAAAGTAAACCCGACCCCAAAACCCAAGACCCCCCAAACCCAAAACCCCAAACCTTAAACCCCTAAACCCCTAAACCCTAAAACCCTAAAACCCTAAAACCCCTGAACCCTAAAACCCTAAACCCTCAACCCTAAAACCCTAAACCCTGAACCCTAAACCCTAAACCCTAAAACCCTAAACCCTGAACCCTAAACTCTCTTGCAGCATCCCTCCTTCCGCTGGCAGCCGTGGGTGGTGACATGGCGACAAGAACACACGAGGGAGAATCAGCTACGAATCCTCTCTCTGCGCAATCAGGTATGAGCTTGCTTGTCTGGTGGCTTGTTTTTGGAGAACTGAGGGGCCCACAGCTTCATGGCGACGCATGCAGACATGTCAAAAATGGGCTGCGGCTTCTTTGACGCTGCTCTTGGTCGTCCATGTCCTGTCTCTTACGAAGAATGGCCAGTTTCAGCACCTGCACCACGAGTAGTAGCATTCCCTTCTAGTCCCCAAACGTAGAGCCATCAAACGACAGTATAGAAGAAAGCCCTGCCAAGTTGTTCGGACCCGGATGTTCTGATGACAACGCACGGCCGAGCTTGCGAACGTTGTCTTTAGCAAGCTCGGGCAGCTCGGGCTTCCTCAGACACTTTGAGCAGAGAAAGTCTATGGTCTGTCCCGGAACATCTTGTTTTCAGCGAAGGGCTAACTAAAGACGGGGTTCGCACATCCAAATTATGCAGAAGTGCCGACATTAGGATTTTGTAGGCTAGCTGGCTGAACACAAAATGAACTACGCAGAGCCCCTGGTGCACAGTGTTGTTGTTGTTGTTGTTGCTGCTGCTTCTGCGTTCTTCTGATCATCATCGCCCTATCATCATTACTTGGGTGATGATCATTTTGAGGATGACAACAGGTGAGGATGAAGAACGACCATGCTGACCCGAAATCCTTGCAGGCAGCTCTGCAGCTCCCTCTCGATGCTCCATGAGGCGCTGAGCGGAAGCCAGAGAGCCCAATACCCCTTAATTAAGGAATAGACCTCAAATTATAGGGGCCTTAATATTATAATTTAAGGTATATCCCTTAATTAAGGAGTATACCTTAAATTATAGGGGCCTTGATATTATGATTTAAGGGTCTATTCCTTAATTGAGGGGTATTGGGCTCTCTGGGAAGCGAGCCAGCTGCACGTGCTGTTCATGTTCGTCTGAGACGTGGCTCGGATCTTCGAGCCGAAGTCCAGCAACCCCATACCTTACTTGGAGGCGACTTCGGGAAGTTTTTTGTGAAGTTATGGGGTCCCTTTAAGGGTTCCTTTAAAGGGTCCTAGAGGGTTTAGGGTTCATGGGTAATGATAAGTGGAGTTATAGGTCCCCTAATATAGGGGTTTAGGGTTTAGGGGTTAGGGGGTTCATGGGTAGTTATAAGTGGAGATATAAGTCCCCTAATATGGGTTATAATTATGGTTGCCCTACTTATAAGTGGGGTTATAAGTCCCCTAATCTGGGTTATAATTATGGTTACCCCACTTATAACCCACTTATAACTGCCCATGAACCTCCAAGTAGAGGCGACTCACAGGGAAAGGGCCAAGGCCAAGGAATATCGGCAATATCACAAGCCTTAGCAGTCATCGCATTCCTTGCTGCGGTTGTCGTCACCGCCAGCGCCAGCATCACCATCGCCAGCAGCAGCAGTTCCACCACGGCTTCAGCAAGACTGGCAATGAACGTCTTCATCACCAACAACACTAGCACCGCCACCACAATCACTTCGTCTTCGGCCTCAACATCCTTCTCATCATAAGAGAACGGCATACCATCCATCTGAATCTCCAAGCAGTGCACGGCTTGAGGGAGCTAGCATCGCGGTCACCAACGGGCTGCTTTTCTCGGATGCCTAGTAGACTACTCTCTCCCCTCCCCACACCCAAATGCCCAAAAAAGTCCACTACCTCGAGCAGCACCACATAATGCCTCAAACTCTAAAGCCCGAAACCCCGGGCCTCAAGAAACCTAATATAGGGGCCTTAATAATTACCTATACTATTTTGGGGGTTCCTATTGTAAGTATACTATAATGGGAGTCAAAACCCTCTTCAAGGCCCCTCACAAAGCCTACTTGGAGGTTCATGGGTAGCTATAAGTGGGGTTATAAGTAGGGTAACTTTAATTATAACCCAGATGAGGGGACTTATAACTCCACTTATAACTACCCATGAACCTCCAGGTAGGCCTTTGAGGCACGGACACTCGCTGTGGCTGCCCACCGGCGCCCTGGCTCTCGCTGTACTTCCGGGAGCAAGGTTTGCACCGACTGTCCCCTGAAATACCAAACCTAAAACCCTAGGGTTTAGGGTTTTAGGGTTTGAGGTCTTAGGGGTTTTGGGGTTTAGGGGTTTTACGGTTTGAGGTCTTAGGGGTTTTGGGGTTTAGGGGTTTTAGGGTTTAGGGGTTTTGGGGTTTATGCAAGACGTAGGGCGACACAGAGGTTTTAGGGGTTTGAGGGTTTGAGGGTTCAGGGTGAGTTTTCACAGCTTCGGGCTTAGGGTTTAGGGTTTCTCTATGAGCAGGGTCGAGGATTCTTTGCATGCGTCACTCTTTCGAAAGCGGATCATGGCTACTTTAGAAAGCCAGTTTTGTGGGATTCCCGCTATGGCTTCTAGAAGAGTTGCTTGAAAGTTTTTTGCTCAATAGCACCTCGTACACGTAGAGGGCTTGTTAATAAGGCTATCTACCGTTTCCGCAGCCTAGATGATTATATGCAGCTTAAACAGTAGTGAATCATTTCTGCCTGGAAGTCCGCAACACCGACCCTTCAATAGTACAGTGCAGTACAATAGGCCTGTAAAGAGAGCTATAAGGGTTCTATCAAGACTTTATACGGTGTGTCAGATGAGGTTTCTTAACAAAGGTGAGGGTTTCAGTGATTTCAGGCTCCTTATGGCTAGGCTCTTCGCATTTAGTGAAACTAAGGTACTTACTTCCCCAATAAGCCAGGCAGGTTACTAGTATGTTGTACTACAACTACAACAATACTAGAAAGGAGCCCACAAAAAAGTATGGGTATTTATTTAGGCCCCTATATTGTGAACCACACAGTCCATGATGGATGTGTGTCCCTGAAGAGCTTTCTAGGCGACAGCCGCGTTTACGTCAATCAGTCACGGAGCACAAAAGCACAGGGCAAGCGCGTCAGGCAGGCTCCGTCAGATGTGGAACATACACTCCCAGCCTCACTCTGGGCTTCATGATACTGTTTTTGCATGTGTATTTGGGTCTGTAGGCTCTTGCACATTCAGCAATGATACGTGCAGACAGCTGAATTTTGACCCCTTCTTACATCACAAGCCCATGAAGCTCTTTTCAGCTTCAGGTCTCAGGAATCACGCTTCTAGAACCTTTTCGTTCTACATGAAGGCAAAGCTCGGCATTCTGAAACCACCTTGAGGTTTCGGGGCTTGGGTTTTGGGCTTGGGTTTTGGGCTTGAGGTTTAGAGATTGGCCAGCTGTCTCCGTGTACTTGGAGGTTCTTGGGTAGTTATAAGTGGAGTTATAAGTCCCCTAATCTGGGTTATAATTACAGTTACCCTACTTACAACCCCACTTATAATTACCCATGAACCTCCAAGTACAGCAGTTCATTCAGCAGTGCATACATACATACATACATACATACATACATACATACATGCATACGTACATACGCACACATACATAGATGCAGACATATGCATGCATGGACAGATCGGCATATGCATTCATGCATGCGTATACACACAAGCACACGTACAAACAAATACACATACACACGTGGCAAGCTGCTTATAAGTTTAAGTGCGTGTGTGTATATATATATATATGTTTATGTTTATGTACATATGTGTATATGTATGAAAGCACGTTATGTAGATGTGTAAACCTAAACATGCATGTCTATATACATGTGTGCTTACATACATATGTGTATGTATATTGTATATACACATTATGTATATCAGTGTGCCCAGTGCTCATGGTTCCATCGTCTATATCAGTGTGCCAAGTGTTCACGTTCCATAGTCTAAGAGCAAGGAACTCAATGACAGCACTAGCAGGCAGCCTCAGTTTCAGGCGAACGCAGAGTTCTTATGCCCCTCACGTTAATAAGGCCCGCTACGGCCAAGGCTTCAACTGACAGCTTCTGATGGCCAAGGCTCGCACTGAGGATGCTGGTGTACGTACAGCGGCTTCCTGCCTTCCATCTGCGGGTTCAGCAAGTCCTGAGGCACGGCAGCTGTCGTCATAGCATAGCAGCAAGACCGAACGTAACAAGAACAGCATGGGACTCGGCACGGGAACAAGAACAGCAAGCTGGCTGGAAGTCTGCCTGAAAAGTAGCATCACAGTCGTGTGCCACACTCAGCGGTGGCACAGTCACTGAGTGCATGGGATACGTACTGCACATCTGTCCTTCAGCTGCTCATTGTAGATTTCCAGAAAAGAAGCCGAAACGCGCAACTCGTCGTACTCCTGTCAGCATGGGTACTTGCATGAGGCGATATGCATAGTGAGCTAGATGCACATTGTAGACAAGTGCTCCATTGAGTTTGCAACTCGACAGTCGCCAAGAACATATGAACTCCCGAGAGCAGGCCGCAACTCTCAACAATCCCTCCACGTGACGCCACGCAAGCCACCTACCCTGCTGCCCTTCTCTCTAGAGCCCTAGACCCTGACCTAAAACCCTAGTGCCCAGGACCCCAACCCAAGCCCTTGTAGCCCAAAGTCTTTTGGCCACGAGAGCTCGGGGAGGACAGCTTTTTTTTTTTCACAGAGCCCCACCAACATTGACTCGATGGCGATACTTTAGCAAGGACTTGTTAGCAAAGTAGCTTTCTCTTCAAAGCAATCTGCAGGCCTCCTGCTTGGGCTTTGACGAGATTGCGGGTTTCCTCATAATCCTGAGGTCTACTTAGTTGCCCAGTCCTGCTCAGCCGTTCGAACCCTGGACCATATAATATTTTTATAGATATAAATAACTCAAATAATAAATCTATCAGAATAATTCTAAAATATTCTATAATTCTTAGATCATTTTAAATATAGCTTATATTGGAAAATATCTGAACCTTTCTATTTCAGTATTTTTCTCTTTCATCTTGCAATATTTTGCTCGCGGTCCTGGGAGAAGAGGTTCAAGCACCTCGCGAATTTTCGGGGGTTGGAGGGCAGATCGTTGGGATGAATGTTGTGGGCGTCGCGTCTGGGGAGGGTGCCGCCGAACTGCGAAGCAGATTTGTTCGGCATTCGATTGCTTTTCTACTTGGAGGTTCATGGGTAGTTATAAGCGTGGTTATGAGTAGGGTAACTATAATTAAACAACCCATATTCGTCTAAGGTTAGAAGTATGGGCCCCTAATATGGACCCTTCGGCCTTTCTGGGGACCCTTAAGGGTACGTATAGGGTAGAAAAGTAGGTATGGAAGGATTCCAGGGTTCAGGGCCCACTAGGGGCCCATGGTTTCAACCTTAGAAATAGGGGATGTACAACTTCATGAACCTTCAAGTACTTGGAGGTTCATGGGTAGTTATAAATGAGGTTATAAGTAGGGTAACTGTAAGTATAACCCAGATTAGGGGACTTATAACTCCACTTATAACTACCCATAAACCCTAAACCCTAAAGGAACCCTTTAAAGGAACCCTTAAAGGAACCCCATAACTCCACTTATAACTACCCATGAACCTCCAAGTAGGGGTCTTCATTCTGGCAACAGTGCGTAACAGCGCGATCCTCTTGCCAAGGCACTTTGAAAGGTCACCTTCAGGTGGAATGATCTGGGAGTTTCCGAAAATTAGGGTACCTTATTTGGGGGTCCTTATAATAAGGATCCTACTATTTAGGGTACTATATTAGGGTCCCCTATTTTCGGAAACCCCCATCTATGATCTTGTAAATCAAGCAGGACTGTCGTATAGACGGGAGCTTGGCAACACAGGGGACCCTAATAGAGAACCCCAAACATAAGATCCCTACAAAACCATCAGTCTTGATCAAGACTCTTCACCCCTCCGCCGCGTGTCTCACTCCCCCCCGGCCTTCCCCTCACCTGCTAGCTATCCAGCCTTCTACTTTGCATTGGGAGACGGACATGCAGCTATCGTCGAATTCTTTACAACATGAGACAGTGTAGCTTTAGAGTAATGTGCATTCAGAACACACTCGATTTCACCTTCAACCCGGTCCGGCCCGACTATTTGCAGAACGTGTAGGACATCCGCAGCAGAGAATGACCCGAAAGAAGCATGGAGGCGGTAAAGACCCGGTTGCAAAAGGCGACTCGTGGTGGCTAATGTAGGAGCCTAAATTATTACCTATATTATTGTGAGGGTTCCTTAGCATAAAGATAGTAGAATGGGCCCAAAACTCTATTCTAAAGATTAAGGCCCCTACATTACACTGGCGGCACAGATGTCAGCTCCTGAGCCCACTGGGCGAAGCTGGTCCCGAGCCCTCGCAAGAACTGAGGGCCCAGCAGCCTTGGGATGATACCTGGATCTCTTTCGTGCCTTGGCTGGAGCTTTCTTTGGGCCGGGCGGACTGTGAGGCGATTCTGCTTCGGTGCTTAGGTTGAACTTTGTGCATCTGCGAATCCCACGCTCCATGACGTCATAGTCCCAGTTTTTGCAGGTGCTAGAAAGTGTGAGTGGCATGACTTCTCAAGCTCAGCTGACGCCCCGCAAGGTGCTGGATGCAACCTCCGCCTCAAAGTCATGAGCCCTCCGAAACAAAGCTACTGCATCGGCTAGCATGGGTGAGAGATCCACACCGCACTGTGGGGTTTACGGTTTAGGGTTTAGGGTTGTGGTTCGAGGCGGTTAAACATTCCAGGATATGGCGTGTTAGTAAATCTGGCATCATGCGCGCGAAAACAAACGCCTTATCAGCTTCCATGGAACAACGTGCCCGCCACCCCCCCCCCTAAATCCTAAACCCTAAACCCTAAGCCCTAAAGCGTAGCTTACTCCACCACCATGTTAAGGGTCCAAGGTCCCGGCCCAAGAACGGTGTAGGTCTTCCCACTCCCGGTCTGGCCGTACGCAAAGAGGCAGGAGTTAAAACCTGCCGGATGAACGTTGTGAACAACTGACCCAACATTCTAAGTTTGAAAGCATGGGCCCTTAGTACGGGCCCTTCACCCTGGGACCCTGATCTACCTACTATATACCCGGTTTACACCCTTAAGGGTCCCTGGAATCCCTCTAAATGGCCCGAGGGGTCCGTATTAGGGGCCCATTCTTCTAACCTAAGGAAGTTGAGGCAACATATAACTGATCAGACGGGGCTCAACCATAGGATGCGGACACAGCAAAACCCTGAACCTTAAACCCTAAACCCCATGATTCACGGTATTCTCTCTGATAACATCCCTTAGCTTAGAGCCTTTGGGCTGGGTCCCGAGCAGTGCCTTCGAGAGCATTTTCCAGCAAGTTCTGGCCAATGACCTGGCAAAGTGGTATAACCACATGATATGATATGATATGATATGATATAACATATTACAATGTAACATGATAAAACATAATATGCTATAGTATGATATAAAATAAGACAAAGCACAATCCAATAACATAGTAACATAGATTGCCGTTTTATGACACCAATGACCTGCCAAAGGGGATGACGAGGAGTACAAATTAGCCCCAAGAGTTCCCTGTTATGTCGCCTTACAGAACCCCCTTGCAGTCCCCTTTACAAGAGCCCGTAAAGGAAGCCTTGAAGGAACTCTCTCCCAAACCCTAAACCCTAAACCCTAAAACCCTAAACCCTAAACCCTAAAACCCTAAACCCAAAACAGAGCCCGAAACGTCAGGCAGAGCCTCGTAGACCTGCTCCTGCGTAACCGGAGGTGCATGTGGCTCATCCCTGCGCAACGCAGGGGAAGAGTCGCCCAAAAGGGGCCTTCACTGGAAAAGGGCCCTTATGGGTAGTTCTCTAAATTAGGGTTCCTTTGGGGGTCCTTTTTATAAGGGTGCCGTACTATATTGGGGACCTAAAAAGAAACCCCTAATTTAGAAAACTACCCTTATCAAGGGTTCCGTTTGTTTGTTTTTATAAAGGGTCTTATGAGGGTTACTATGCAGGCTTTCGGGGCCTTAGTAGGTAGAATGGGGTTTTTGGGGGCCCAAAACCCTGCGGGCACTCCAGGAAAACGGCACTGAAATCTGACCCCTGACTCGGCAGCCGGCATCCTACCAGACATCAAACACCCGAAATCCTAGCTGACACATGTCGGCGCTGACCTCACAAACTTTCACAATGGCGGGTTTCGCAAGATAGTGGCCAGTTTTAGACGGCTTAAGGATTCTGGTCGCGCGAGCTGTGGTGATGGCAAGATCAGTACGGTCCTTGACATTCCTGCTGCTACAAGTAGGTAACTGATCAAGTATGGGGTATTTCATGAGGTTAAGCTTCTGGTTACAAGTCCTGGGTGTCACAGCTTTGCGACAAAATGTTAATCAGAGTGTGTCCGGCAACACAGGTAACATGTATTATAGGGGCCGTGACAATTACCTGTACTGTTTGGGGGGTTCCTTATTATAACTCTACTATAATATACCCCCCCAAGCCCAATTCTAATTATTAAGGCCCTTACATAAAACAGTTCTAACTTTATAGTAACCCTTATAGTATCCCTATTAAGGAGCCTTGTAAAGGAACCCCTATTCTAATTGTTAAAGCCCCTACAGTCTTAGGGTTCAGGGCTCGCTGCCTCCTTGCGTCGTTCGGCTTTACCGAAGACAGGCAATGGTCGAAGGAGAAAACCTGGGAAAGGATCACTCGAGGCCTGACTCCAAGTCTGCATGTGGGTAGTTCTCTAAATTAGGGTTCCTTTGGGGGTGCCGTACTATATTGGAGACCTAAAAAGAGACTCTAATTTAGAAAGCTACCCTGCCCTAAAAAGCGAAGTTCTACTTGGAGGTTGATGGGTAGTTATAAGTGGAGTTATAAGTCCCCTACTATGGAATATAAGTACACTTACCCTACTTATAACCTCATTTTTAACTACTCATGAACCTCCAGTACAGGGCAGAAGGTGCGAAACCTGGCTGAAGTTCTTCTGGCAACATCTGGTTTAGGGTTTTGGGTTTAGGGTTTAGGGATCTACGTGAGCCACCGCGATCATGGGAGAGGCTGGATGATGCATATTCTGGTAGCCACCCGCACAAATCGACACCCGAACCCGCTAAACCCTAAACCTTTAACCCTAAATCAGGTTACAACACCACAAAACCAACACGCCCCAAGATCTAAACTAACTCCGATCCCCACATCTGTACAGCTCCACCAGAAACCCAGACCCTACCAGTGAAATCTAAAAACCGAGGCCCTAAACAGCTCCGCATCGTCCCGAAACCCCAAATCCTCCTAAAACCCAAACACTAATCTAAACCTGAAGCTCCAATCCCTTGAAACCCTATAAGCCCTGTGTCGTGTGAATCCTACTTGGAGGTTCCTGGGTAGGGTAATTATTTTGAGTGGAATTATAAGTCCCCTAATATTGGTTACAACTGTAGTTACCCTACTTGTAACCCCACTTATAACAACCCATGAACCTCCAAGAAAACCTCCTGAAAGTCTAAGGGCTGAGCTTTGTCCTCCTCCTGCGGGGGCCCAGTGAGCTGAGTGGTGAGCACCTGCTTCAAGGGCTTCTGCGTTTAGGTTTAGGGTTACCTTAAAAGGATCCTAAACCCTAAACCCTAAAAGCATCCGTAAGTGCTCTACAAGGAGTTTGGGTTTGGGGTTTCAGTTTGTGGTTTAAAGAGCCTGTCTGGGGCTCTGGGCTTGGGTTTTGCTTGACAGGTACGGGTGTAAGTAGGGCCATAAGTAATGAAGTACTCTCCTTGTACTTCCTTCCTCTGCAACTATACTAAAGAATATCCCAAACCCTATTCCAATTGATGAGACCACAGGGGGGTTTTGAGAGCCTGCGGGGTATCCCAGCATCTCAGGGTCCTTGACAGTTTCATGCACCGGGCTTTGTAATAGCTAATTCATGTTGTGCTGTGTTGTATTGTGTTTTGACATGTCGCTTGTGTACATGTTTGCATGTGCGTATGGATTTCGCAGCATATGCTAGTTCTGACACGCTATACAGTCTTTGGTTTACAACACTTTCGAGACATTGCGACTTTCGTATGTATTGAAGATTTAAAGTATGCCACATTACTGCTTACAATACGAACAATTTTTGTGCATGCACACATCCAACATGCAAGCACGCATGCATATATGCCTGCACACATACACACATGCATACATACATACATACATACATACGTACGTACGTACGTACGTACGTACGTACGTACGTACGTACGTACGTACGTACGTACGTGCATGCATGCACGCACGCATGCATGCATACATACTTGCATGCGTAAACACAGCCATTCGCACATGCCTGCATCCACATATGCAGTATACTTCTACACACATGTACCCAAACCCCCTGAGGTTTGGTCAGGAGTCGGTGGGGCTGCACGGCTGCAGGGAACTAAGGTGTCATGCACATGCTCTACACTCAGAATGTCTCAGAGCTGAGCGGGGTTGAGGGGTTTCGTTGTTTCAGGGTACGTTGGTAGTTTAGGGTGTCTTTTGGGGTGTGGGGTTCGAGGGTGTTTAGGTTGTGATATCTTGGAGCTTAAGGTCTCCGTGGGTTGTTGTAGGAGCTCCTCTCAAAACCCGCAACCCTAAACGCAAAGAAACCCTTATACTGATTGTATAGCAACGCTTATAATGACCCTTGAAAGAAGCCCCTCAAGACAAGAAAGGGGGGAAATGGACGGTCCCTGAGGCTTTCTAGAGGCCTGAATATCTACCAATAGTATTCCTCAGGGTTCTTTGATACAAATAAACTACAAAATAACACCGAAACGCAATTCTACTCAGCAAGACCCCTACACTGAACCCTGCTAGCAACCCCCCTACAGGAACCCTTGTTAACGACGCTCGAATGCTCTACGGTGCCTGAGGATTCCTATTCCGGGGCCCACGCCTTGAGCTTTAGAACATTGGAGCTTTGTACCTTGCAGATGCAGGTTTCTTCTGGGAGGATCCAAAATCCAATGAGTAGAAACCCCAACGGGGGTTCCGAAAGAAAGGTACCCTTCGTAGCATAAGGTCCAATATTAGGGGCTCTACTTTCTAGATCCTCCCCAAGGTCTGGGTTTGCTGGTCGCGGAGTGTAATGTTCCTTGAAGGGATCTAGCAGGGTTCTTTAGTTTAGGGCTTTAGGGGGTTTAGGGTTTAGGGTTTAGGGGTTAGGGGTTTAGGGTTTTGGGTTTGGGGATTCGGGGTTTAGGGTTTGGGGTTTGGGGTTTAGGGTTTGGAAGTTCTGGGGAGAGGTTTGGGATTTAAGGATGAGAGATTTGGGGGTTGCAGAATAAAAGGGGACCCTCATATAGTGCTTTAAATAGTAGGATCCCCATTATAAGGACCCCAAAATGAGGTACGGTTCCATATTACAATTATAGTACAATTGACGCAAAACCCTGTTATAATCATTAAGGCCTCTATAGTAGGCTCCATGCGGGGGGTTTCAGAAAACTGCGGACACGCGCCTAGAAACCTCAGCAGTAGAATCCTAGGTTACTATAACGGTTCCGAAAATACACCTGAACCCTCATGAAGCCCAAAGGCCCTACACTCCTAACGCCTAAACCCTAAGCCCCGAAACCCCCTAGACCTTAAACCCTAAACCCCCCGGACCCTAAACCCTAAACCCGGAGCCCAAGTCTTAAACCCTAAACCCTAAGCCCTAAATCCCTAAACCCTAAACCCCTAAACCCCAAACCCTAAATCCTAACGCCTAAACCCCAAACCCCTGAACCCCTAAACCCCTAACCCCCCGACCCAAAACTGGGAGCCCCTATCTTTAGAACCTCTCGTCGGGGGCGGAAACCGAACGATTTTGGGACGCGGCCAGAAAAAAGGGGCCTTGCTTGTTGGAGTCGGGTTCCTTTTAAAGGGGTTCCCTTTAAAACGGCTTGCTAGGTCTGTTAGTATAGGATATCATGGGAGTTTCAGTCTGAGGGGCCTTAAACCTGGAATAAGGTTTTGGGGCCGACCACAGTACAAATAAAGCAGGAACCTTACGGAATGAGGTGCCTCTGCTTGGAGGTTCATGGGTAGTTATAAGTGGGGTTATAAGTAGGGTAACTATAATTATAACCCATATTAGGGGACTTATAACTCCACTTATAACTACCCATGAACCTCCAAGTGGGGCTTCGGATTCTTGGAGGTGGGCTTCCGGGGCCTGCCTTGGATCCGCTCGCTGCATCGGGGGCTTCTATAATGAAAAAAGTCTGCTATATTCTAATACAGTATCCTATAATGAGAGACTATGATAAAATATAACATACTTATAATGTGGGTAGTTCTCTAAATTAGGGTCCCTTTTTGGGTCCCCAATATGTTATGGCACCCTTTTTTTATAAGGGCCCATAAAAGGGACCCTAAGTTAAAGAACTACCCATATAACGTAGTATAACGTAATGCCCCGCTTGAACCCTAAACCCTACTTAGAGGTTCATGGTACTTATAAGTGGAATTATAAGTCCCCTAATATGGGCTATAATTATGGTTACCCTACTTATAACTCCACTTATAACTACCCATGAACCTCCAAGTAAACCCTGAACATCGAACTCCAACATGAGCTTCGGACATTGACGATCTGCCGTTGCCCCCTCCTTGGCAAACGAAGGGCCAGAAGCGTGGGGATACCTTATTTTAGGGTCCTTATCATAAGGATCCTACTAGTTAGAGTACACTATTAGGGTTTAGGGCAGAGACATGTCGGGAGTTTCCGAAAAGAAGGGGTACCTTATTTTGGGGTCCTGACAATAAGGATCCTACTATTTAGGGTGCTATATTAGGGTCCCCTGTTTTCGGAAATCCCCATGTAGAAGCCTTAACAATTGAACAGTGTGGGGGCATACTCGACGAACATTTGGAAGGGATAGACAGGGAAGCGTACCGCCTCAAGTGGAGTGCGCTTTTTGAGTTACGAAGTGTCACCTTCGTCTCGTCCTAATGCTTTTGTGAGCATGGCTCCGGGATGCGGCCTGCCTGCTCTGGCGAAGCGAAACCGTCTTTGCGAAGTTGGGTTGATGCAGAGCTTACCTAAACCCTCAAATGCTCATGCAAAACATCCTCTGTTGCTTCAGCCAAGTTCTTTGAAGCTTGAACCCAGAGAGCACAATACCCCTTAATTAAGGAATATACCTTAAATCATAAAATTAAGGCCCTATAGTTTAAGGTATATTCCTTAATTAAGGGTTATTGGGCTCTCTGGGAACCAAGTCCTGCTGCACCTACTCATGACAGCTCTCTCTCAGGTCAGAAGTCCGATGGGCGGTTGGCGCTGTCGTCAAACAGAAGCCCTAAACCCTAAACCCTAAAACCCTAAACCCCTAAACCCCTAAACCCTAAACCCTAAACCCTAAACCCTAAACCCTAAACCCTAAACCGCACCGACACCTTAAGCCCTGAAGTCCTACCCTAACCTCCCAGGTACCTACTATGTGGGGTACTAGAGCCCCTAGGGCCCTATATAGTAGGTACCTGGAGGGTTAGGGCTACATCGTAGAGCTTTCTAAAACCCGGCTCCGAAGGAAGCTTGGATCCAGACTCCCGTGGGAGGAACGGCCGGATCCTCACAGTGACCTGTCTTCGGGAGCTCGGATTAGGGGGGACCCTTGGGGATATAGACCCTCTCAATAAGGTCCCTTTTAAGAGAGCCAAAAGTAGGGTTCAGAAGGGGTACCCTTTAAGGGGTACCCCTAATGATACTACTTACTGTTGTGGTTGTCACTGGAACTTGCAAGAAGGTTGATGGCCAGCTGTAAGTAGGAGGGTGCTATAAGGGTTCCTGTAAGGGTACTATAAGGGTTTCAGGGTTTAGGGTTTAGGGTTTAGGACGGTGCGATAAGGGTTCCTGTAAGGGTACTATAGGGGTTGCAATAATAAGGGTATCTAGAAGAAGGGTCTTCTAGTTTAGGGTTGACAGTTCAACGTCGAAGGTTCACGATGCCTCTTGGGGCGGCATTTTCTTTCAGGGCCTTAATTTTGGGGCTCCTACTATACATATCAAATCTTATTATGATCCGTCTTCAGGGGATCGATCAATCAGGGCGGTACGGTAGTTGAAAGTAGACTTCGCCGTTCTGGGAGTCTTGCACCCACCGCGAGTGCAAGGATAGTTACTGGACACTAAACTGGCAGCTAATGCCCAGAGCACAATCACATATGCTCTTAACTAACGCATCGAAATCTCCTGAAGGCCAGACTGAAGACCTTGCAAACCCTAAAGCCCCGAAATCAATAAAAGAGGTGCCTGAATATTTGGATCAGGGTTTGCAGGGTATATGACGGTATCATTACAGGAGCCCAAAACGATAATACTAGTTCCTAGTATTTTTTCCGACTCCATAATACCCCGAAGCTCCACTCAAGTCCAGTCGAGCCTGAACGGACTCATCGGACATCACTAGCCATGGAGGAGGAGAGTTTCGCGCATGTTACGCAGCTGTTTCCAGGCGGGGGACAGGGCTTTGTGGGTTTAAGGTTTAGGGCATAGGTCATGTCAGTGATGTCTTCAGCATCATGTCCCTAAACCCCAAAATAAACCCTAAACCCTAAACCCCAAAATAAACCCCAAAGCCCCCTAGTCGCTCCATGTCTTGCGTGCGCATTTCGAAGATGAGTTGCCTTAGGTTTCGTACCACCCCCCCAGACCCCAGATGTTTCGATTGACCCAAAAAGCCCCCAACGGGCTTATCAAGAATTATGAGGTTTAGGGTTTAGGGGTTTAGGGGTTTGGGCTTATAGGGTTTAGGGTTTGGGGTAGGGCTAACAGATAGGGCCTGAAACTCCAAGGGCCCAAACCGCTGTGATCCGCTCCCTAAAGCCTGGACCCGAAATTCCTGAAATCTGCCATGAGCAGGCTTCTCGTGGTTGCTGAGAGCTCGCTGCGAAGATCCAGACAAGAAGTGTCATGGCCCGAAGCTTGGGGGCATTCAGGCCTTGCCACAACATGGGAGCTTGTAGGAACTATGTGCGTTAAGGGGCCCCGAAGCGAGGTGGAACACATGGTGTGTTTCCGTACAAGACGGTCCGGCAGGGCCTGTTCAAGAAGTTTACCACCGGCTCTTGGACGCTTTGTTCTAAGTCACATCTCCCATAATTTGCCCGAACACCCTATTCCAATTATTTCGACCCCTTGTAGCCCTAAACCCTAAACCCTAAACCCTAAACCCTAAACCTTCCTTATTCGGGTACCAACCCGAATCCTCACGAGGAACCAAGGTCTTCTGGGCGCATGCGGTTCGGGAGTTCGGGACTCCAACTCAAGACCAACACTTGGAGGTTCATGGGAAGTTATAAGTCGGTTTTGTGTAGGGTAACTATGCTTGTGACCCATATAAGGGGACTTATAACTCCACTTATGACTACCCATGATCCTCCAAGCAATGAGGGCAGGGTTATCTAAGGCGCACTCGCTCGCGTATCTAAGACGCACTCAGGGTCTGGCGCATCTAAGGCGCACTCACCGTCCCTTTTGCCCTGGTTTTTACGGTGCGGAAGCGACTACGTGGGAACGAGATGCCAGCAAGGCGACAAGAGCCCCCTTGGCTGCTCAGGTTTCAGGGTTTAGGGCATGTGGGGTCTAGCAGAAAGCCAGCTAGAAGCTCCAGCGGATTCAACCTTTCCTGAAGGTTCGGGGGTTCGGGCCAAGAGCAGGGCAGGGCAGCGACAGAGGGAACGTGGCAGGGGCAGGAAAATGGCAGGGTTAAGGGGTTGTGGTGTTTCAGAAGAGGGGCAGCAGGGCAGAACAGAGCGGGGCAGGGGCAGGTCAGGGGCAGGGGCAGCACTCAGGGGCACGGCAGCCTGATTTTTACTGCATGGAAGTGCAGGGCAACGGACACGAACAGACCCGGGCAGGGGCACGGCAGCCTGATTTTTACGGTACGGAAGCGACGTGCGAGTTCACCTTAGATAGCGCGCCCAGCAGTAGTAGAATGCTGACTCTCGGGACGCTTGTTGGGGATCCCCAAATCAGGAGAACAAAACCACCCGATCTCTCAGGGCACCATCAGGTCTGAAACTGTGGGTATTCCCTACTACGATCATTGAAAACATTCCCGTTGATGCATCTGAGTGCTTTGTTGTCACTGACAAAACGTCTTCTATGATGACCCTGATTACTCTTACTATCATTATACCAGCTGTGTCTTAGTCGTCACGTGTCCGTCGAAACTACTCATTCGATGTCAAAGCAGCCCGACTGATTAATATAAACTACCTATAGTATTTTGGGGGTTCCTTGTTACAATAATAATATAATGGGCCCCCAAACCCTGTTCTAATTATTAAGGCCCCTATAATAGGATTCTACCGAACATCGCACAGCGAAGGCAAGCTTTCTTCAAGCTGGGATCCCTCGGGGCTGAACGTGTGGGCCTTAACAATTCGAATAGGCTTTCGAGGGGTACATTATTCTATACTTTCAATAAGGAATTCCCCAAAATAGCACTGGTGATTATGTACTTGGAGGTTCATGGGTAGTTATAAATGGGGTTACAAGTAGGGTAACTATACTTATAACCCATATTAGGGGACTTATAACTCCACTTGTAACTACCCATAAACCCTAAACCCTAAACCCTATAGAACCCTTTTCAAGGAACCCTTAAAGGAACCCCATAACTCCACTTATAACTACCCATGACACCTCCAAGTAGGACCTTCAGAGCCTCCAAGTGAAGAGCATCTGCCCTTTTGTCACTTGGGGGTTTCCGAAAATAGGGGACCCTAATATAGTACCCTAAATAAAAGGATCCTTATTATAAGGACCCTAAATAATAAGATCCTTATTATAAGGACCCCAAAATAAGGTACCCCTAATTTTCGGAAACTCCCACTTTTATCCCGTGCTACGCCACTCGCCGTGGAGATCTCTTCCCCATGTCCTTCCATCAGCAGTGGTCCGAGGGAATGCGCCGGGAGGGCCCGTTGCCCTGCTTGGGTCAACAGGGTCAAAGTCAGGCGGTTTAGGGTTGAGGGTTTTTTAAAGTGCACTGGGCTTCACTCCGCCTTGCTAGGGTTTAGGGTTCGGAGCTGTTAGCATATGTCTGGCTGCATGGTGCCAGCTGGATATGTGGAAGGGAGTTCACCGAATCAAAACACATCCGAGAGAGATACTCAGCCATGCTCCTCAAGAACCCGCATGCACTGCAACCGAGCACAAATCCTAGTTCACCCCCCGGCCCCACGCACAACCCTAAGCCCTAAACCCCAAAGCCCCCAGCCAAAAACCCTGAGTCTACCTAGCCTACTAGAGCCTGCCTTTGTTTGGCGCGTCAAGACGAAGCCTTATGAAGACTCTATCACGGCACTCAAAGTGTAGGCTATGGTAATGTAGGGGCCTTTATCATTAGAATGGGGGTTTTGGGTATATTATACTATAAATATAATAGGGAACCCCCAAAATAGTATAGGTAATTATTAAGCTTATTAAGGCTCCTATAGTAGGCAAAAGGTATAGCTCCTCAGGCATCGTGGCCCCACTGCCGAGTCGCAGGGATGAGCGAAGGGACCAAGACCAAACTCCCCCATCAACTAACTCTGGGGTTTAGGGCTTCGGGTTTTCAGGTTTTAGGGTTCTTAGGGTTTGGGGTAGTTCGTTTCCTGGCTTTTCTCGGGTTCATCGGGGTTGGTACGGGTAGTATAAGGGCCGAAATAATTAGAAGTATTATACTATAATTATCTAATAAAGAACCCCTCCAAAACCCACATTCTAATTATCAAGGCCCCTACATTAGTTCATGTGCCGGCTGGTGGGACTTTGGAGGGGTTTATACTCTTGGAGGCTCTGGTTTCGGAGGGGACTCTTTCGGAGAATGTAGAGGCCTTCATAATTAGAATAGGTCTGGGGGTATCTTATAGTAGATTTATACTAAGGACCCCCCAAAGTGGTAATGCACATTTTGCTATACTTATACTAAGGAGTCCTAACAGTAATAGGGGCACTTCTGTAGGCTTCTCTATTACGGCCTTCAACTTCCAACCCCCCGCACCCACTTAACCCTTAGCCAGGAAAGGCTCATGTCATGAAAATCAGGGTATGCCTACTTCTGTAGCCCTAATTTTCAAGAAGAGGTTTAAGCCTCCATGAAACTTAACCCCTCCATTGTAAAATCCTATAGAGTTTAGGGCTTTGGGGTTTAGGCTTTTAGGGCTTCTGGGGTTTAGGGTTTAGGGCCCTCTGCAACCTTCTACCCTAAACCCTAAACCCTAAACCCTAATTTTGTAGGGGGCTTGCCTTACTTGAGATACACCCCTGGGATCGAGGCTGCAGAGCTGCACTGGCAGGCTTGATGCAAAGTACAGTCCGCTTATAAACCCTAAACCCCGAAACCCTAATCCCCAAAAGGGTCCTTAGCTTCGAGGGGATTTCGGGGTTGGGGAATTCGCGTTTTGCAGTTTTCAGGGGTCTAGTGTTTAGAATTCAAGGGTTTTGGGGTGTAGGGCTTCAGGCTTTTAGGATCTGCGGTGGAGGGTTTGGATCCTGATAAGAACATAGAGCGTCGTAAGCTTATTGCAAGACTTTCTATGGATCTCAGCTGGAGTTTAGAACGCTTTATAAGGTGTTAATATAGGGGCCTTAATAATTAGAATATGGTTTTGGGGTCCTTTATGCTATAACTATAATAAGGACCCCCNNTAATTCTTAAGGCCCCTATATTACTCCTCGTGCCAATGGGCTAGTTGGGAAACAGGTCCCCGAATTGCCCAGGCAACAAATCACTTCGGATACATCTTTCGAAGGCAATCCTTAATGTTTAAATCAGGAGGGTTTTGGCGCTTGTTAAACTATTAGCTATGTGGGGCCTATAAGGGGATACTATCACCAATTGTTTTGAGCCTTGCAGTAGTCCGTCTTGGTCCTTTCCTTTTGCCCTGTCGCTTGATGTCGTGAACCCTACCCCGGGCCGGAGGAGAAAGGTAGCAACGCTGTCTTCTAAAAGAAGGAATGTTAGGTGTAGGGTTTNNGGGTTTAGGGTGCTGCAGGCCGGACATATCTCATCCGCTGCTTCCTCCCGGCCCGTGCTTGGCATTATCACTTGCAGGCACCGCGTCACGAGCTGCTTCCAGTAGCAACTGGCCTACCTGGCCTCAGGCGAAGTTGAGGTACCGAGACAGGTTCTGAATTACAGCACGGCTTCTGCATCTTACGACCTACTTCTCTCAGTACACGCAGACATACATGCACATGCATAGATACCCTAAACCCAAAACCCTA